GGTGGGGGGCACGGGCCCCCCCAGATTTGTGCATCCACAACAGGCACAGGGCTGCAGTCTGATCAGAAGAGACCTTTGCATTAAAAATAAAATCAATTGAAACATGAAACATATTTCTTAACATTTAAACAATAAAATTTCATTCTGTAAATGAGTTTCCAGCCTGCTGTCATGTGAATATAATTTTTGTGCCTATTTGATACATGTAGAGCTACTTCATTTTTCTCCTGTCTTACACATGTACTAAATATTTGTCAAAGATGCAGGTGAAAAATTCCCTTGAAAAAACAAGTTCTCAATTTATTTTTATTTTGGGAATACTATGGGATTATATTATATAATATAATAATAGTCTGTTTGTAGATATCATTTTTCATATCTGATACATTTCTTTAAAAACAATTTTAAAGGGGAAACCAAGCTGAGGGCTTTTTGGCATTTCATTTGTACTATTTAGGTAATACTGAAGGGGACACTTTTCTACTGTAAGCTAACAAATACAATTCCCTCTCTTGCAGTGTTTCAGTATTTTAGTCTCGATCAATTTACCCTTAGTCATATCAGTAAATGTTCATAGTTCTAAAACCTGTGGTGATCTTAAACTTCCTGTTAATATTTGTAACCCATTACAACAAAATTGGTGCTGTTTTTCTCAGGAGTAATTTTACCTCTTCAGGTAAACAACTTGCCTTTAAGTTCAACTGTTAAGAGAGTGAAGGCTCTTAAAACAACTTTCATTGTCTATGGTTGGGATAGGCAACTTTTCCAGCTGCAGGCCAGGGTGACCTGGTCTGGGTCAGAGGTAGGCGACCACTAGGATCTGGCTGCAGCTGGTGTTTGTTCCCGCAGCAACACGGGGAGAGCACCTGAAGTCCCGCAACTGCAGGCTGGATCTAGTAGTTCTGTAGGTTGCCAGCCCTAGTCTATGATGACTTTGGAGTTCATACATTGACAGAGCAACACAAGGAGCCCTTCTAGAGACTGAATATTCTCTCTCCAGTCCAGGGAGTAGGGGTCAGATCCAAAAGTGGACATGGGTGGAAGTTAGGCATCCAAATCCAAAATTATGATCCACAAAACCCCTGCGCACCTGCCACCAAATCCTGAACTAAATACAGACATTGGATTTATGGCACATTATAACCTGCCTGCCACCTGAGAATCCCAGGTAACCTGTCTGTATTTTACCAGCTATGTTCTATCATCAGTTCAACATTCCCCTCTTCCTCCCCTCTCCACCTACCTGTCTCACACCTATGGTCTCCCATTCCCTCTGATCCTTACTGCCATGCATTTGCATTTTCACAGACCTGCACTTTGCAAACTTGCTTCTCTTCCACCAGGGAGAACACATCAGCAACAAATTCTCCCAATGCCTGAAGAAGGGTGTTTGTACCCAAAGCTTGCAAAAAACATTTTCCAACTATTTAGCTGGTCTAATAAAAGATATCACATTTACCCAGATACCACATTTACCCAAAAAACTTTGTCTTCCTATGTCCTTAAAGTAGACCAACATGGCTACAACCAACAACCCTAATCAAATCTGCCAGCACTTAGATAACAAGAAGATGGTATGTTCTGCCATTTTACCTTTTCAATCATATTTTCATGCTTGTCTTTGTTGCCTTTGAAGTCTTCATTAACATCTAGTGTTAGGATGGGTACTTCCTGCAAGTATTCAAAATCAATCCTATATAAAAACAGAGAGGTAGAGAGAAAAGGAAAGAGATTAAATAATTGCAGAGAAACGCCTTTAAATTATATTATAAAATAATAAGATATAATCAAGAATTTCTCATGAATTAATTCTTCTTTAATTTATAAATACACACAATTCAAACTTATAATATAAATTAGCTAATTATCAATCAAGAATGACTGATTTCAGGGAGTGTTTACATGCCACCACCCCACCCCGCGGCTCACCCTTCAGGGCC